AGTTTCTGCAGCACTTTGTGCCAGCTGCCTTAATGGCCCTGACCGAGCTTGACCCAGATCTCATTCTGGAGACCCTCTCCCTGGGTTCAGGAGTGCGACGGGGTATCCCGGCCCCGCACTATAAATCAACCTATGGGCATGGTCCTGCTGGCTGAGAGTGCCCCTCCCCCCACGGCCTTGCTGGGCATGCTCCCTGGTGAGCCGCACTATAAAAGGCCCTGAGCCAGCTCGCTTGGGGCTGATGGCTGAAGGGGAAGGACCCGCAGAGCCGGCTCCTGAGTCAGAGGAGTCCACGCAACCTGAACCAATGCTGCAGCTGCTACAACCCCAGCAGCAACAGCCACAGCCACCGCGACAGCCCCGGCCCCGGAGACAGGGGAGAGGTACGACCGCAGTGGTAGGAAGCAGCCCAAGGCAGGGAGTGATAGTTCCCAGAGTGTTCGGCCGATTGAGGGGAGAAGGCCCCTTGCTGAGCAAGCAGTGGAGCGTTCCACTGTCAACAGGCCCTGGGCTGGGACCCGGTTGAGTAGAGAGGCCCGGGTCCCCCTATCCTCCCCTGCCCCGCTGTGGCATTCTGAAGCAGGGGAAGGCCCACAAACTGAGGACTAGGCTGCAAGGCCATATTTACCCCAAGAGGGGAACCGGTAAAGACTGTGCAGCCAGGCCATATTTACCTCAAGAGGGGAGCTAGAAAAACTGCGCCACAAGGTTGTATTTATCCCGAGAGGAGAGCTTGTAAAGACTGCCACAGGGCCATATATACCCCAGGAGGAGAGCCTATCAAGACTGCCACAGGGCCGCAGATACCCTGAGAGGGGAACATGATAGAGACTGTGACACAAGGCCATAGTAACCCCAAGTGGGGGAAACGTGTAAAGACTGAGCTGCAGGGCCAGAATGAGGGAGAACCCGACCAAGGGGCTGCACGTCTCAACAGGGAGCAACACCCTTGCCACTGCAAACCTCAGTAGAGAGGTATTTCTGGAGGCTGGACACCAATTTCAACTGGTGGGGACCAGCTGGTCATGGAGCGGTGGGACGACCAGCAGTGGCTCCAAAACTTCTGCATGCGGAAGGCCACCTTTTTGAACCTGTGTACCTGGCTCACCTCTGCCTTCCGACGCAACACCCACCTGCGGCCCACCACGTCCCTCGAGAAGCAGGTCACAATTGCCGTATGGAAGCTCACCACCGCCGATAGCTACCAGTCAGTGGGCAACCAGTTCGGCATGGAGGTAAGGCACAGTTGGACTGCAGTCCCTGCAGGGGGGTGGAAGTCCTGGAAAAGGGTGATCCTTGGGAAAGGGGAAGTTGAGGCATGTGGGGGAAGTCCTGTCCCCAGGGGGTTGTGCCATCCCACCCTCACACAGTCATGCTGCTGGGGGCATGGCCTCATAGGGGGTGGTTCATGGGGTGTTTGAGGGAGGGGAGAGGAGGAAAGGGCAGCAGGTACCTCCCAAGGACTCAGGCACCCCCTCTCTCATTCTCTGTTTTGTGTGTGTTTGTTTCCTTCTGTAGGTTGTGAGGGCCATCTGCCTGGGAGACCTGGACCCGATTGTGGCCGTATTTGCTGTCCTGAGGTTCCTGAACTGTGGGGGAGTGATTGATGGGACCCACATCCCAATCTGCGCACCACATTGAGTGGCCCAATACATAAATCGCAAGGGCTACTTTTCTATGGTGCTGCAGGCCCTGGTCGACCACCATGGACAGTTCATTGACATTTTTGTTGGGAGGGCACATGATGCCCAGATTTTTCTAAACTCCAGCCTCTACGGGAAGCTGGAGGCAGGCACATTCTCCCCCTCATGGGATTTTGTGGTTGGGGATGTGCAGATGCCACTGTGCATTGTGGGGGACCCGGCTTACTCCTTCATGTCATGGCTAATGAAGCCTTATACTGGCCGCTTGGACCCCAGCAGAGACCAATTTAATGCCCACTTGAACCAAGCCAGGATCCAGTTGGAGTGCGCCTTCGGCCGCCTCAAGGTGCAGTTCAGGTGCCTTCTGACCTACCTGGACATGGGGGAGCACATCATCCCTGAGGTGGTGTCGGCATAATGTGTCCTCCACAACATTGTAGAGAGGAAGGGGGAGGCCTTACTGGTGGGGTGGGGAGCAAATACCGGCCATAAAGGGAGATCCTTTGAGGAGCCATGGACAGGTGCCATCCAACAGGCCCATCAGGCCAGGGTGCACATCCGGGAGGCCCTGGGGGAGAGTTTCTCTCAAGAACCCCAATAACTCTCCCCAAGGTCTCCCCTCTAGGGGCCTCTGGCTGTTGCACTATCCCTTTCCCACCGCAACCTTTCCCTTCGCCCCTTCCGTGATCTCTCAATAAACACACCTGTTTGTTTTTGAAGAAAATGTACTTTGTATTTGTTTTAGGAAAAAAAGTGGGGGGCTCCTAACCTGGATGGGGAGGGGTCTCGGGGCTGGCTGGATGAGCCACCTTGGGTGTGGGTCTCTTGTTGGTCTTGAGGTTGGGGGGTCCTGGGACACAGGTATGGGGGGGCTGGAGCGGGGTCAGGGATGGCAGGGGCAGTAGGGAGAGAGGGCATGGGCATCACTTGGGAGTCAGGGTTTGGGGAATGGGCATAGCAGGGAGGGCAGGAGGGTGGTAGGTAGGAGCAATGACAGCAGGCAGGTCTGCCATCATTTCCCTTGCGGTCAGGTGCTACTCCCAGGTCCGGCTTTCTGCCACAAGACTTGTCCTGGGTGTCTGCAGCTTTAAGAGGGGCCAGGAGACAGGAACTATAGAGTTGTGATCACTTTGGAGCGAGTGGCCACCAGGGCACCTGTGCTTTTTCCTGGAGGCCTCTTCTTTCGAAAGAAAACCCTCTTCCCCGTCCACACATGCCTTTTTTGTGAAAGAGCTCTTTCGGAAGAAAACTTCTTCCTCATAGAAAGAGGATTACCAATTCCAGAAAAACCCCTCTGTTCTTTCGATTTTCTTTTGAAGGACCATGATTGCAGTGTGGACATAATTGAAGTTTTTTCAGAAAAAAACCTCTATAGTGTGTAGACATACCCTTTGTGTCCTGACTATCTGAGAGACAACCACCTCCTCATTAGCTACAGCAACAGAGCACTTGAGCTAACAGTCCCACAGTTAGGCTATGTCTACACAGCAGCATTATTTCAGAATAAAATAATATAGTCTGAGTCTACACAGCAAACAGTTATTTTGAAATAATGTCAATTTGGAGAACTTCAGACTCCAACTCCTGCAACCTCGTTTTACGAGGAGTAGGGGAATTTGGAGGAAGCATGCTGTTCCTCGGACTTCCTGCTGTGTAGACAGCACCAAAAGCCAAAATAAGCTATTTTGACTTTAGCTATGTCAATTGCGTAGCTTAAGTTGCATAGCTTTTTTTATTTTTTAGCCCTGCTGTGTTGACTTGCCCTTAGTCTGCAAGCTGGTTACATACCCTCTGTAGATTGCCTTCAGCTGTTCAATTTATCCCTCACTTTGACCAGCGGAGCTTCATTCTGCTGAATTTAGGGCACATTGTTCTTAACTCTTCTATTTCTGCTTGTTGCCTGAGGATGATGTGGGTGATTGGATGGATTGACATATAGCAAATGCTAACAGATGGTTTCTGTTTTAAAATCTCTATTTGAATTTTCTAGAATTTTATGTGACTAAATTGTTAAGCAGAACATTGCTTTAAATGAGGGGCTTTTTTTAACCCCTTCACAGAACACAAGAACCAGGGGTCATTCAATGAAACAAATAGGCAGCAAGTTTAAAAGGAAATACGTTTCATACAATGCACAGTCAGCCTGTGGAACTTGTTGCCAGAGATATTGTGAAGGCCAAAAAAACCCAAGATAGGTCAGGAGGTCAGCACCATTCTGTGGGTGTTCATAAACCTCTGATTGCCACAAGCTGGCACTGGATGACAAGAGACTGATAAATTGAAATTATCCTGTTCGTTACCTTGGAAGTATATAGGGCTGTTAGAAGGCAGGTTGCTGAGCTACTGATGGCCATTGATATGACTCAATTATGGACATTCTTGTGTTCTTAAATGTTGTTTCTTTTCAAGAAAGATCAGACGGAAATGGCACAGCATGTATTTCAATTTTCAAATTCTTACACTGTAAAATTGGTATAGGAACCTTTTTGATCAAATAGTGAATAAATCATTGCATGCGCTTAGATGTTTCTGTGTTATTTTTCCTTCTTATTTTGCTTGTTAGTTTTCTCCTGTTTAGCATTTTCTTTTTTATTCATCCATTTCAATAAGTACTTTGAATAGAACTGGTCGAAACATTTTTCTGACGCTGATGGCTTTTTACTACATAGATAATTTTACAAGAACATTTTTGTTTTTCATTGAAATGTTTTCTAGTTTTAGGTTGTAAAAAAAAAACTGGGGAAGATTTTTGTTCCAGGTTTTTATTTTTTTAGTGAACACTCCCCTCTCTCCAAAAACTTCCATAATTATTACAGCAAAAGCAAAAATAAATAAATAAAATCTTTCTGGTACTTTTAAAATCAAATATACATTTTGACCAACTTGTGTTTTGAAGAAAGCACTTTGCTTTTATTAAAGCAATGTTGAAAAATTAATTATTCTAATTTTTAAAAATTTGATTTTTTTTTGAGAAATTTGGGGCCAATTACAGCCAACGTTACTGACAAAGCTCTCACTGAAACCAGTGAAATGTTTTTTTTTCTTACATGAGAGCCAATTTAGAACTGCAGGATTTGGTTCTTTGGAAGAAAAAGAAAAAAGTATTTCTGTTTTGCCAGTCAATGAGGGGAGAAAACAGACTATTTTGACATTCTGCCTCAAGTGAAAGTAAGTTCATAAAAATCCCCCCATGTAACTTTTTTTTTCTAAACAGTTTGAAATGATCTAGCCTAGAGATGTGACAAAAAAGAAGTGTTCTGTTCAGAAAAGTGCCTGCTTCATGTGGGAAGAGGCAACTTATTCTAAGGGCATGCCAGTAAAGATTGAAGTAAAGCTCTCTGTTTCTTTTTTCTCTAGACAATTGGGAAGAACATCCCTGGCAATGCACCTTGCTTTCTGATATCTGTTACTAAATAAAGCTCCCAGTTCCAGAAAAGACTCTAAGTAAGAAGTTTATAACCACAGTACTCGGCTTAAAGTAAGGTAAGGAAATAATTGCTCTCCAGAATTTTATTTATATTGTAGTATAACAATTTTAACAGTTCAAGAAATTGGGTGAGAAGGGAAATGGGAAAGCAGGCAAATAATTAAGAAAGGCAAGTGACTTAGTTATTACACCTTGAATTGTAAACATATCGAATAAGACCCTCTAACTTCATGCTCCAGATAGAGGATCATGCAAATGTATGTGTTACTGTACTCACCACTGTATATGGAACCAGACATTTTACTTTCATGGCAGCCAAAAGGATCAACATGGGCTATCCAAAGGTTCAGGAATCTCTCAGGTCTCCTGTGTAGCTCAGTTTTGCTTAGGTAGACATTTTTCATGTTTGCAGAATGTGTCACCACTGGCAAATTATTGACACAAAGTGGTCCTCCCTTTTAAAAACTTAAAGTATTGATCTGCACCTCCTTCTTAATGGAAGATTTTAGATTGACTAGTGGCCACATAAAATATTCTTAACACTCCTGTCCCGATGCCCTCAGCACTAACAGGAAGAAGTTGAAAACAGCTACAACTGGTTATAATTGTGCCTTATGAAAGTGGAATGACAATAACAGAGAATAAATACTTTGTACCCCTCATTTCATATACATTCCCATATAGAAAAATCATATGAATTGTACAAGTGTATATCTGGCCAAACTTGCAAAGGTTTTATGCTCATCTTGATGTCATTTCTGTGTTTGTCTGCCAGTATGTAATGTAATGACTTTTGAATGATACATTAAATCACAGTTCCAAAATTTCAGGCAATTTCAGGCATTAATGGTGAGAGAATCCCATTGACTTTGGGGAAATTGAAAAACTAAAAGGAGGAAAAAATGGAGGCTCATGGAGCCCCTGCCATCTATTTAGCACAGCTAAAGCTTCAATCTCCTCTATTATTGTGTATCAATCAATCTGCTGATTGAAGGCACCTAGGATAGGTGAGCAGCACACTCCACACAAGCATGTCATAATTCATTTGAAAGCTTCTATATCCGCTTTAAGATGGAGGTATTCTATGGAACCATCATGGGGAGCCATTCCCATAGAAAAGGGGATAGACTGACACCAACATGTTAAAATGGACACTTTGAAAGATCCACATTCCTTTCCTTTATTTTAATGACTGAGTATTATTTCAAGATATAAAATTCAGTTGTTGTGATCTCAAAGGATCATAACAATCTAAAGGGTAAAACAAAATCTAATAATCATTTTGTACATGTATCATAAGAAATGAAACAGAGCTGAAGACCCTTCAAGCCAACATCATTATCATCACCTCATTATGATTTCTGTCAAGAGTGCATGGTTGAGCAGTCTTCATTGCCTCAGAAATGAAGGGAACATTGTTCAAACTCCAGACACAGCTGATTGTGCAGCAACCTTTATTGGTGCAGGCATAGATAAGGCCCTTTAGAAATTCATGTGCCATTGGGTCTTTGAAGAACAAAAGAAGTAGTTAATCATCCACTGTTTCCCACCCTTGTTGCAATGGTGACCCAATACTTTGTGTGAAGACATCCAAATCTTTATTTGCCAAGATGCTCTTTTGATCTGCTCTTCAAAACTGTCCTCATATGATGGGATTTTGACCAGTGTCCTTTTTGATGACTAGGTTCAGACACAAGAAATTCAAGTTTCTGTGGACCTTTTTCCCCCTCTCTCATCGTACAGCACTGCTACTGACTCCCTTTCTGCAGAAACTGTAGAATACAAATTTGTCTCAAATAATTTTTCATGGTGAATTGGTTTTGGATGTGATTTATGTTTTTCAAATGCTGCATACTGCATAAGAGTCTCTGACTGTCTATGGAGCATAAGTGACTTTCCTTTCTAGTGTTTCCGTGATATTTCTTGAGATTCTGGACTGTCTTCAGACTTTTCTTGATATACCACTCTGACCTTGAATGAAAGAATTCTTTCCATTATTAGTCTCTGTGCAGATGTCATTATCTTCACAGATGAAATTTCTACCTGCATGCGGTGGTACAGTTCCATTTGGAATAAACATACCTCCTGTGAGTCTTTCTATTTCAATTTTTGCAGCACTAATAATGAACCACTTCAGCTCATCATAATTCATGCAGTATCCAGGAAGATTTAATATTTCAGTTACATTGAGAATTAATGGTGTAGCTGTGCAGATATGGAGTTACCTTATAATTTTGGATCTGTTAGTGCTGGTCTACACTAGGGAGTTATTTTGAAATAATAAGAAATATTTTTTTTTAAAAGAAGCAGAACATCCACATTACCAACCCTGTTATTTCAAAATAAAGGGCTGGTTATTTTGAAATAATAACTCCTGCTTTTCTACGGGAATAAGCTTATTTTGGGAGTTATTTTGAAATAAGTTATTTTGAAATAGTTTCCTAGTGTAGACATGCCCTTACATACTATGCTCTTCACAAACTAATAATATGAAAGACACCACTTCCATATTAGTTTGTATATGACACTGTATCTCACAAGTACTATGTGTAAAACATACACTACTTACTCAGAATTTGCATTATGTTTAATAGATTGGTTCCCTGAGAGTTGTTATATGTTTTCTATTACCAAATGTGCCCCATAGTCTTTCCATAAAAAATTCTATGACAAGTCACGCTGCTATATACTATAGAAAATAAGAGACAAAAATATAACAGAATAACTTATACATTTTTAATCTTCACATCATGTTAGTGCTCTGTTTATTTGTATATTCAAATGCATAATCTTATTTTATTATTGTTTCTGTTGTCTTTAATGTAGTTAAAAATAATTATTTTAGTATGAGTTTTTGATGGCTTATTTAGCTCTAGTTCTATCATCTCTGCTTTTGTGTGTGTATATGGGTGTATGTGTATATATATAATTTGAAACTGTATTATTTCATTTTCTTAGTGTAACAGCTGATTGCTTCAGGCTTGTTTTGTTTGTAGCGTCTATTCTGGTACTGCAAAAGCTTCAAATTTCCTTCCAATCATTCTTTTTCTTCTTTCATTCCTTGAGCAGATAGAAGGAATAGAAAAGCCTTCATTTTCTTCAACTCTATTAAAGTTCCCATTTCCATTGTATCATTCATAACTGTCTTTTCCTTTATGCCCCATTAATTCCTTAGGCTATGTATATATTAGCACTTTTATCAGTAAAACTTCTGTCTCCCTTTCTTTCCTCTTCCGTTCCTTATAGTCATCCAATTCAAGTTTCTCTCCTTTATAGCAGTAGAATAACTATAGAGAATAAATGCTCTGTATCTTCAAATGTCTGGAAGTTCCATAATGCAGTTCTTCCTGTTCATGGGAAATTGTTTGACAAGAACCCCCTTTTTTTTTACACAGAGTAAGAGGCAAAAACTGTACAGATAAATCATTGTGCTGTAATCAGTTAAGCAAATAACATTCTTTATTGTAACAGAATAAATAGACGGCAAGAAAAAAACCTTGGTTTACTTGACATTCTAATGTAACATTCGAAGCTTCAGAGGGTAGCCGAGTTTAGTCTGTTATAGAAAAAAACAACAAATGGTTTTGTTGCACTTTATAGACTAACAAAACATGTAGATGGTATCATGAGCTTCCGTGGGCATAGCCCACTTCTTCAGATGACCGGAGTTATGAGTAGGGGATATGAAAACTCAAAATAAATAGGAGAGAGCAAGAAGAGGGAGGAGAAAAAGAAAAAAGGAAGGGGTGTGTGAGACAGAGCATCATTAAGTATCTGGAGAATGGGTACTTAAACCTAAGCAGATAAAAATCAGTCAATAGATAGATTGCTAAAACAGGAATGATTCCACTCAGAGAGCTGTTAGCACCTTCAGTGGTTATTAAGTAGGTAGTGTCCTAGCCAGCCCATATCACAATTGAGTCCATTAGTATGTGAATTGAATTTGTGGATGAACTGGGATTCCAGTCCTTCCCTATGTATCTGGCTTGTGGAGCTGGCCCGTGACAAGACAGCCACCTGCAGGTCTGTCAGACTGTGGTTAGGCAAGCAGAAATGTTCACCAGCAGGCTTCTGTGTGTTCCCTTTACGTATATCCGATTTGTGTCCATTGATTCTTTCCCGCAGAGACCATCCAGTTTGTCCAATATATATATTAGTGGGGTATGGCTGGCATTTGATGGCATAGATCAAATTACTAGATGTGCAGTCAAATGACCCTTTGATTTTGTGGCCTATGTTGTTTACTCCAGTGATGAATTCATCAGTGTAGATATGTGGGCAGAGTTGGCATCTTTTTTGGTTTCAGGGCTGGGTTCTTGGAGACTTATGATGTAGTTGTGTGGCACGGTTATCAGAAAGAATACATTTCAGGTTAGGGGTTGTCTGTAAGCAAAAATAGGTTTTTCTCCTAAGGCCTCTGAGAGTGAGGGATCATTTTCCAAGATGGGTTGTAGATTGTGTACAATGCATTGGAGGGATCTGAGTTGTGGACTGTAGGTAACAACAAGAGGAGTTTTGTTGTTTTCTCTTTTGGGTCTGTCTTGAAGTAGTTCGTGTCTGGGTATTTTTTTGGCTCTGTCAAATTTTTTTTTCACTTCCCCAGCTGGGTATTTCAGTTTTAGGAATGCTCTGTAAAGATCCTGTAGGTGATCGACCCCACTGACAGACTATAAAGTGCTACCAGACCATTTGTTGTTTTTTTAATGTAGCATTAGTGATGACTCATTTTCTGGCCTTCTTTTGCTATATTTACAGCATGTTTTGGAAATAAAACAGAATTAACTCTTCCTTAATTCGTATATCCATATACATATTGTCACCACAACCATGCTTGCTGAGGGGGAAGGTGCAGAGGGGGCAGTTGTCCTGGACCTGGTGATTCAAAAGGGCCTGGGGCTCCTGGCCACTGCCACCACTACTGCAGCAGTAGCTGGAGCCCTGGACCCTTTAAATTGCCACTGGAGCACTGTGTGCCATTGTCCCAGGGAGTGGAGGGAGGGGCACACCATGGCCCAGGGGGTGTTAAGGACAGATGGACTCTAACCCCATCCCTTCG